GACCCCGCGGGCGGAGCCGGGCGCCTCCGCAAGGCTGGGCCTGCGCCTCTGGCCGCCCTCAGTTTGGAGGACTGAAGCACAGGGAGAGTGATTTACTGCTATCCCCGCCTCCGAAGTACCGACTGGACTTGGGGCAGGTGGGGTCTGCACCTGTTAGTAGTGACAGGACGCTGCCCTCCGCAGAGGGTGGCTCTTGTAACTTACCTCTCCCAGACGTTTCCTCTTTCACCTCCAAAACTGGCCTCGCACCCTCAAATGCAAAGCCCCACTGAACGGATTGTTGAGAACAGTCACCTTTGCAACGCCTTTTCTCTTATTAGAGATGCTCACTATGTTCTTTAGCAAATTCGACCCAACCTCGTGTACAAAATATCAACTCACCTCCCAGCCATATTTTAATTCCCTTTTCTCCTCCTTTAGTAGAAGTATCAGAATTCTTTACTCTGCCTCAAGCCACAATATGGTCTAAGACCATTTTATTATTTGCAAGGCTAATTCAGAAAATCTTTAAAAGTTAATTTATTATTTTAATTCCTGCAGTGATGGTACTTTGTGGCTAGCCAGTCGGCCAAATTTGGAGTCAGCCCAATTCCAAATTTGAGCTTTACCTCTTATTACACCTCTACCCTTGTGCAATTTACTTGATTTGAGCCTTTGCTTCTTAGCTGTGAAATAGAAATTAGTATCTGTCTGGCAGTTATTATCGAGATTTTGTAAAGGCATACAAAGTGCTTAGTAGGGATTCATAATAGTCATTATAATCCTGATTTTCCAAATTTAGAATTTACTCAATTCCTCAGAGTTCTCTTCCTGTAATTTCTACTCTAGATTTTCCTAGGAAACCTTTTAGACTTCTGGATTTTAGGGCTTTCCTTCTTAAACAAGTGTTAATGAATCTTCAAGCAATATGTAAGGAATTAAGCAGCAAAAAATCAGTAATTCCCTGAGCTTTGAATTGGTAAAAATAGTATCACCTTATCTACTGCTCCAGCTTGCCTAGCCCATACCAACTATATGGTTAAAATATTTTAATTATAGGCTTAGTACAAGAGGGTTTGAGATCTAACAGTACAGTCCGCACGTGCCCCCTTTCTACTATGAGATATGTATCCGTTTGGAGATCTTTTCAATTACAAGACAAAATCTGACTCTGTACAAAAGTTTGGCCACTACTTTCTCCCTTCACATGAACTACTTTGCATATACTAAAATTCCAATCTCCAGTAGTCTTCATTTGTCTCATTTTAAAATTAAAAATGACTTCTATGAGTCTGGTATAAAGTGAAAAAAGCTCTCAGGTTGACTACCTCCTGGGTCTTCCTTCTACCTTGAAACTACTTTCAAGAAAGCTACTCAAAGTAGTTGAATTCCCATTTCCGTGCTTACTGGGTAACTTCTTCCCGCAGGAACACTGGTATATAAGCTGTAAGCACCCATATGGGGAGAGAAGTGGACTTTGACAGAGGAGGGAAGGGACTGTGGAAAGACCAAAATGTGGTTCAGAATTAGTGTTTCTAAAAAGCTTGTTTGAGATTTTATACGTTACATTTTCCTGATCTCATAAGCAGCTTTTTATTGATTAATCATCTGAAGGGAAAGGATTTTATCCCAGGACCAACATTTTGAGTTCATGCTGGGGAATAGCAGTGGTAGATTGGGTTTTTTAATTAATGGAATAAGGGCTAATGCATCAATTCAGAATACAAGCATATGCTAAAAGTTATGTATTTCCTACTTCTTCATTCATCAACAACAGTAGTACCTCTTTCAAAAGGAAAACCAAAACCAAAAAAAAAACTACCAACCCAGATATTCCAGGGGATCATTTACGATGCAACTCTTGAAAGGTCTCCATGTTTTAAGATCCAATTCGGCAATCAACCAATTGGATTCTCCTTTTTCTTTCCAAATCATGTACTGCCATTAACATTTTATATTGTTTCAAAGGTCATATATTCATGTTCTTCCCCAGTTCAAGGCAGTGTGCATTATGTATGCCAAGGGTTATGTAACTACAATTTCTGGAAATGGTAAACAGCTGAAACTAACCCTAAAAATAAAATCCTCTGGGAATTTCTGTGCAAAAATCCATCTGCCCTCACTGCAGGTTCATGGTTACAAAAATCACTGTTTAGATCAAGCCAAGAGACAGAGAAGTCATTTCTGCCTCCTCTCTGTATCTTTCCTATAAGCAGCTGTACATACCTCTCTCTCTCCACCTGGGGAGGGAAGGAGACACACACACACTTTATCCCAGGAGCTTTTCCTAATCCTCACTACAAAATCGAAAGAAAGTCTAGAGAAGAAAAGTTTGTCCAACTATGGTAGAAGAGCCATAAGGTCTTACCACATTCACTTATTTATAGCTAGTTCCCACTCCTTTAATGATCACAAAGTCATCTGTAGGCCTAAATCTCTTTTCTACCTTAGGTTGAACAGATTTAGATTTTTTTTTTTTTAAGATTTTATTTATTTGAGAGAGAAAGAGCACAAGAGTGGGGTGAGGGGCAGAGGGAGCAGCAGACTCCCCACTGAGCAGGGAGCCCGACGCGGGGCTGGATTCCAGAACCCCAGGATCATGACCTGAGCCGAAGGCAGACGCTACCTGACTGAACCACCCAGGTGCTGCAGTTTTAGAAAGTCTTTATTTTAGTTCCAAAGAAACAGGTAGTATTTACCTGGCCTCAGGGTTTGAAGGGATATATTTTCAAAATATGGGGACAACTGAACTAGGGGAGGAAATAGCATGGAAAACCCTTAAAAGTGATAAAAATTACCTCAGTCCTTCTGGACTGAAGTTCAAATCTCAACACTATTTATTGTATTGTTGAGTAAATGCCTGAAGTCTATTACTAGCTAAACTTTTCTATTGTAGCTTTTATATTTTCCTCTAACATGAAATTACATGCAGATGAACATGTTAACTAAATTTAATATTAGAAACAAAAATTAATTTTAACTAAACCACATATAAGATTACAGAAATGTCACTTATCAAACAGTGCCAAAGGGCACTTCTGCATAAACTAGATATATGCCAAGGCTTCTCTTCTCCTTCTCACTTAGGGGGCTTTCATGATCTCCCCCTTCTCAATCAAGGGAGTATCAGGGATCACCCAAGCAATAGAAAGCCTATAGCTTCCAACACCCAGCCACTCTCACTTCTATGGAAGAATTCACATTAAATAGATCATGCAATAGAATTCATTTTGGCTGGTCAAACCTTCCTCTTCCCAGTCACAGATACACTTAAACAATTTACAAATAGCTTATAACTAAAACCCCATGACCACCTCTAAATACACATTTCACTTTGATATGATTTCTTTGCCTTGTTTGAAAGTTCACCCATGTGGAGAAGTAAGCATGAGTTAATAATCATTAGTTAAAATTCCCAATTGCACTTTTTTTTTTTTTAAAGATTTTATTTGAGAGAGAATGAGATAGAGAGAGAGAGCATGAGAGGGGGGAGGGTCAGAGGGAGAAGCAGACTCCCCGCCGGGCAAGGAGCCCGATGCGGGACTCGATCCTGGGACTCCAGGATCATGACCTGAGCCGAAGGCAGTCGCTTAACCAACTGAGCCACCCAGGCGCCCCCCAAATGCACTTTTGACTGTTGTATTTAGGTTGTTCAAATTCTTCTAGGTGAGATTTCTGCGTAAAAGGAACATTAACAGGTCAGTAAGTTTGGCTCAAAGCTCTGGAATAAGAATTCATTCAAGGCTTCTCCAATCCACTTATAAGAAGCAAGGAAGCAAATTTTAAATCATTGAGTATTGACTTTTTATTATTAGTCACTGTTCATAATTTGTTTCAACCAAAAGACAATACACACAGCAGAATTCTAATGCATCCCATGTAAATGTTTACATCCATTTTATTCCTCACTCGCCTCTAAGACTTATCATTTAATTTTAAATTTTTTTTACATCTCAAAAATATGTCTGCAATAATTAGAATTAGCTGTCCCACTTAGAAACAGCCTTTTAATATTTTTACAGTAAAGAAGATGTGATGGGGCTTAATGAAAATGTAACTTACAACAATTATGAAAGAAATGGGACTTTACAGGGACACAGTGGGAGTTCACAAAGGAAAGAGTCCAGAAGCTCTTTCCCATGAGCAACCCCCCAAATTGAAAACAAAAACAAAACACACAAAGCGCAACAGCAGGTTCCAAAAACAAAAACAAAAAAACTCCGATGCTCCATCCTGAAGCCAGAATCAGCCTCACGGAAGTTCACGGAAGCAACTGTGCAAGCTGCTTCAGCACGTTCTTTTGTTTAAGTGCGCTGGGTCCTGGAACCCTGCAGATGGAGCCCACTCACTACTATTGCTTGAAAAAGAGTGATTCACTTCCACAAGCAGCCCCACCCTCCTGAGCCAAAGCCGGTCAACGTGTTTTAAACTTCAGGACTTTCGGCTCTTCAGTGACCCTCCCCACTCCCAAACACATGAGTATACAGTCATGAACCACCTCTTCACCAACCACAAATTCGTGAATATCCACTTTTTGCTCGCTAGCTCTCATTCGGTTTAGGGCAATGAAGATAAGATACATTCACTAGAAAAAAATAAGACATATTCACACTCTTTCTTCCCCCCCTAGTTCTCATGGCCCAAGTATTTTCCAATGCATAAAATAATAAAGTTGAACCTCAAAAACAGTATCCCCTAACATCCAACCTCTTCTAGAAGAATGTAAAAATGAAAAGCATGTTATACCGTAGATGGAAATACTCAAACTGTTAGTGCTGAACAGTTTCAAATGTCTACTTTCTTAT